TAACTGGTAGCTAATTTTATGGCCGGTTCAGTGAACCAGCAAGCCCCTCCCCTCCCAGGAGTCCCCACGCGGCCCTTTTGGATCCTAGGTAAGTGCAGGGCCTACGCAGAGCTCAGGGGAAGGTGAAAAACCAGCCTCCTGGAGGCTCTGGAAGGCCGGAAACAGGCCCATTTCCGGCCTCCAGAGAGCCTCCGGAGCCCGGGAAGGCCATTCACGCCCATCATGGCCACGTCGCCCCCAGCAACCGGGCAGAGGACCGCTCGCTAAATTTTTTGAAGCCCACCCTCGAGTGGGTCCGACTCCCAACCGCGGATTTGTCCCCGCAGCATTGCTGACAACTTGCCGGTGGCGACGAGGCTGGAGTTCTACTCAAACCGTGAAGAGGAGGAGAAGAACAAGGAACGGGACCTTCAGTTCGAACACGGCTACCGACTTGGGTTCATGGAGAAGAACAGGGTAGGGGTACCAGGGTCCTTTGCGTGGGGTGGGGGCGGGAGGCATTTACGGACATCCGATGGGGGTGTTTTTTTCGCTCTGTCCCTTGATTCGCAGTAGTCCTTGACTTACGACAATTTTGGTCCCAAATTCCGGGACCAGAATTTCTGTTGCTAAGCAAGGAGTGTATTAAGTGAACTGTGGCTGTTTTTTGCGGCTGTTTTGCCCTGGTTGTTAAGTGAATCACTGCCGTTGTTAAGTGAATCTGGCTTCCCCCCATTGAGTTGGCTTGTCAGAAGCCGCCTGGGAAGGTCGCAAAGATCCTGAAACCATAGTAAGGATGCGCCAGTGTCCCAGGGGCCTGAATTTTAGATCACGCGACCATGGGGATGTCGTGACAGCCATAAATGCGAGGACCAGTCCTAAGTCACTTTTGTTTCAGTTCCGTTGCAACTTTGAACGGACACTGAATGAATTGTTGTAAGTCAAGGACTCCCTGTATTAGTGGATTGCTCAGAAGGACCCCAATTTTTAGCTCAATGTTTGCCAGCGTTGAAGATGGTTGGACTTCAGCTGCTAGAATTCCCCAGCCAACCAATTGTGGCTTAAAACCACAATCGAGTCCAAAATGTAGGTTGCTAAGTGGAAAAATTTGTTAAGTGAGTTTTGTCCAGTTTTTACGACTTTCCTCGCCATGTTTGTTACATGAATCATTGCGGTTGTTAAAGTAGTCACGCAGTCATTAAGTGAACCTGGTTTCCCCATGGAATTTGCTTGCCGGGAGGTCACAAATGTTGTTTGTCAAGTGGCCAAATCTAAATCACGTGTCCATGGGGATGCTGCCAGCGGTCGTAAGAGTGAAAAACAGTCCCGAGTCACTTTTTAAGTTTTACGTTTCTGGATGTTACCCTAAAAGAGGACCTGACCTGTGGGAGCTCACATTGCAGCCCTGGTCAAAAGGGCCCAGCAGAGATTATACTACCTGAGGCTTCTCAGAAAACAACAACTGAATGGAAAACTGCTGGTGACCTTCTACCGCTGCACCAGAGAGAGTATCTTAACTTACTGCACACCTGTGTAGGGTTTGCCAATTGCACAGTGGCAGATAGGACAGCACTTTAGAGGGTCAACGTCATTGCCCAGAGGATCATGGGTTGCCCTCTCCCCTCTTTGGAAGAGCTTCATAGCTCCCACTGCCTTAAGAAAGTTCAAAACATCCTCAAAGATCCATCTCATCCTGGGGACCCCCTTTTTTTGAACTACTAAGATCTGGCAGACGGTACAGGATAATAATAATAAAAACAAGGACAAATAGGCTGAAAAACAGCTTCTATCCCAGGGCGGTAGCTCTTTTGAATTCTGCTATATAGTGCAGTATTGGGTGTGGTGTCGGGGGTTTCTGTTCAAAGTGTGGAGTGTGAAGGATGTGTGTTTGTGTTTATTTTCATGGTCATGATGTGCACTGAAGATGGTGTTTGATTTCGTTGTATGAGGTGCAACGACAATAAAGGAAACTAAAACTAAAAATTTTTCCAGTGCCGTTGTAACTTTGAACAGTCGCTAAGTGGATGTGTCAGCCCTGGAGCCATTTTCCCCTGGCACCGTCAGGGCTGCCACAGCGGGAGATGGGTTGCGCTGGGGAGAGCGGGAGGGGGGGAGGTAGAGATAGCTGGGGGATTGTAGCCCAAATAAAATTCTTTCCTCTGAGAACCAAGGACGTTCCCACCAGGTGCGAGGAGGTGGGATCTCAGACCAGCTGACCCTTGGACTGTGATCTGATTGGACCACGTGATGGATTCCCATGGGCAGGAAAAGAAAAACTTTACTTTTAACTGGGGGGGGGGGGGGAAACCCGAGGGGGGTTTAGAGTTGGGTTTCCCCAGGGGTGGGATTCACCCGGTTCGGACTGGTTCAGGTGAACCGGGTGTTAAATTTACATCTGGTTCACCGAACTCGTAGTTGAACCAACCAGCTGGCCCTGTCCCTCCTCTCCCCGGAGTCTCCACGTGGCCCGTTTCGGATGTAGAAAAATGCAGGGTCTGTGCATTGGCTCTGGGAGGGGGGGGGGAAATGGGCCAAACAGGAAGTTCTGAAACTCCAGAAACGGGTTGTTTCCAGCTTCCGGAGCCCAGGGCAGGCTGTTTTCACCCTCCCAGACTCCCGAGGGAAGCCTCAGGACTCTGAGAAAGGGGGGAAAAAAACAACAACCAGTCCTCCCAGAAGTTCCAGTAGGCCCTGCCCACCCAGCAACCAGGAAGAGAACCGGTTGCTGGGATGTTTGAATCCCACCCAGCTGGGTTTCCCGCAGACGTGCCAATATGACAGGCTTAATAAACCTAATAAACTTTTAAGGAGTCTGCCTGCCTTGGAGTTTTGATTCCGTTGGGCGTGTCACTTGGAACCCTGACCCGAATGCAGTTACCTGTGTTTGCTTTTAAGCTGTTAAAAATGAGGAATTTGCTCAAACCACAGTTTTAAAAAAAAACAACCCCAAGAACTCCCAAGGAGTTTACAGCAACCTCATGCTTTGTTGCTCCGGAAGGACGCGTCTTCTCCGGTGGCACAATGGCTTTTTGTGTTACTTTTTACTGCATGCCAGAGATCAGTGTGAGCCAATTGGGAAGTTGGGTAATTCTCCCCTTGGAGGACGTGGCAGAATGAGGAAATAGTGGACTTTTGGTTCAACGGGGCGGAAACAAAAAGGCGAGACACGCTGATCTCTTTCCTTAAAAAAAAAAAAACCCTTCGCAAATTCCCTCCCGTTGCAGCGAATAGAAGGAGATTACAGGCGGTCCTCAAGTTATGACCCACAATGGAGTCCCACTTTTCTGTTGCTAAGCAAGGCAGTTGTTAAGTGGGTTTGGCCCCCTTTGCTGACCTTTTCTTGCCACCGTTTTTAAGTGAATCACTGCAGCGGTTAAGTTACGTGGTTGTTATGTGAATCTTCCCCATGGATTTTGCTTCTTGGAAGGTCGCAAAAGGGGAAACACGTGACCCCCAGGACACTGCCATCGTCGCAAGTACAAGTCAGTTGCCTGGCACCTGAGTTTTAGATCATGGGCCCATGGCCTGCTGCAGCAGTCGTAAGTGTGAAAAAAGGTCCTAAATCAGTTTTTCAGTGCCATTGTAACTTTGAATAGTCACTAAACAGACTGTTGTTAAGTCGAGGACTCCCTGTACTGGAGAGCCCAGTCAGTTATGATGGAGTGTGAGTCATCCTGGGTTTGTTTTTAAAAAGAAACATAGAAAACTGACCGTAGAGAAAGACCTAGAGAGCCATCGAGTCTGTGTCCCTTTGGGTTTTCTTTTCTTTGTAACTTCTTTGTTCTTTCTTAGTTATTAGTTTTGTATTTTATTATTTATTTATTTATTTAATCCAGCTTAAAATGATTTGATTAATTAAATGAAATGATATGAAGAGCGGTTGCAGGAACTGGGCGTGGCTCATCTAGGGAAGAGAAGGACCAGGAGAGACAGGAGAGCAGCCTTCCAATATTTGAGGGGCTGCCACAGAGTGGAGGAGGGGGTCAAGCTATGTATTCTATCTATCTATCTATCTATCTATTTATCTATCTATTTATCTATCTATCTATCTATCTATCTATCTCTGTCTTATCTATCTACCTATCTATTTACATCTATCTATATCTAATTTGTTTCTATCTATCTATCTATCTATCTATCTATCTATCTATCTATCTATTATCTATCTATCTATCTATCTATCATCTATCTATCTATCTATCTATCTATCTATCTATCTATGAACATCTGAAGTTACAAGAACTGGGGCCTGGCTAGTCTAGTGAAGAGAAGGATCGGGGAGACAGGATAGCAGTCTTCCATTATTGGAGGGAAGGCCAGACAAGGAGCAATGGATGGAAACTGAACAAGGAGAGATTCAACCTGGAAATAAGGAGAAACTTTCTGACAGTGAGAACAATCTACCAGTGGAACAGAAGTTGCCTTTGGAAGTTGTGGGAGCTTCATCCCTGGAGGCTTTCAAGAAGAGATTGGACTGTCATCTGTCAGTAATGGTGTAGGGTTTCCTGCTTGGGCGGAGGGTTGGACTAGATGACATATAAGGTCCCTTCCAACTCTGATTATCTGTTATTTTGGGCAAGAGAAATGACCAGAAAGTTTCTTTTTTTGTCTGTGTGTGGACATGTTTGCTTTGACTTCCTTTCCGCATTTCTGCCTGCCTTGTGGTAAAAAGCTTGCGGTGGGGCAGAGTCCTGGCCCCGTAGCGGTTCTGTAAGGCAAGGAATTTCTCACTTTCTCAGGCTGTAGAACCTGTTTAGTTCTTTAAAAAGAATCTGGGAGCCCCTCTGATCAAGGGTGAAGGAAAATGGGCTGCTTTTGTGTGAACTTTTTAGGTTAAATTAAAACCTGAATCTCTCATAGAAGTCTTATCACGGTGGTCGCCAACCAGTGGGCCTGGGACCACTGGTGGTGAGGAAATTTTGGTGGTCCACAGAGAAATGTCCCCCCCCCCCAAGCGATTAATCCAGGCTGCGCAGAAACGCTTGGCTGTGCCGCCCATATGGCCCACAGGAATACAAGGCTTGCGTCGCTTGCATTGCGCACAAACACGAGGTAGTGAGGGGACGGTGGAAGCGGGAGGGGGGGACTTTCCCCACTTGCCTGGCCTGGCCACCGGACTGCTTCTTCCTGCTTCTTTCTTCTTCTGCTTTTGGCTGCACTCAAGGAAAGCAGCAAAAGTCTTTCTTTCTCCCCCCACAAACTCTGCCAGAAATGAGCCTTTGGGACCCTGCAAGGCCTCCTGCTCCAAGAGGCTGCGCCGGTGTGACAAGTCTCACAAAGACTCATTTCTGGCGGAGTTTGGGGGAGAGAAAGAAAGACTTCTGCGGCTCCTGCTGCTTTCCTTGCATGAAGCCAAAAGTCTCTCTCTCTCTCTCTCTCTCTCTCTCTCTCTCTCTCTCTCTCTCTGTCTCTGTCTCTCTCTCTGTCTCTCTCTCTCTCTTCCTTCCTTCCCTCTGAGAACAGAGCTGGAGACAGTATCCTGCAATCCCAAATAAAGAACAATCGATCAGTAGGAAGACAGGGTGGGGAATTTTCCTGCAGACTTTTTGGGGGATTTTCCCAGGGTCTCTGGTCCACGGGATTTAAAATGATGGGTTTGGTGGTCCCTGAGGTCCAAATGGTTTGCAACCCCTGGTCTATCAGGTGTCCATGGAACTCTGGGATGCGATTTGAGAAACTGTCTCGAAAGGGTCCTGTCCCGTGACTACATGGAGGGGAAAACTGCCCCAAAGCCTACTCCAAATGACTTTCCTCTGGTGTTTATGACAATTTGCCATAGCCAACTTGCCATGGGACAAGAGTGAGACTAATACTGTTTCCCCGGAAATAAGACCTATCCCAAAAATAAGCCCTGGCATGTTTTTTTTACGTGTACGCCTAATATAAGCACTACCCCCCCAAAATAAGCCCTACTTAAGAGTCTGTGCAGCCAGCCGGACGTCCATTCTGTCTGGTTGCTCGCGGTGCTGCAGCCACGAGGCGAGGTGGGATGGTGGTGGAGCTACCTCACGCACCTCACACTGGATTACCTCAGGGTCCCCCACAGCCAGGCCATCCATGTCCCGATATCTGCCTCACGGCGGCAGCACTAACAACCCTGTGCAGATGGAGCCCTTTATGGCTGCAGGCCCACATTTTCTGCTTGCTTGTGGCTGCAGCGGAGCAGGGGCCTGAGCGATGTGTTGGTGCCGTGGCCGTGAATCCAGGTAGGTGTTGCGGCGTGGGTGGCCTGGCTGCGGAAGCCCTGAGGTAAGCCGGTGCAGGGCGCATGGGTCAGCTCCACCCGCCCTGCCTCATGTTGCCCGGCACTGGCGTCCCAGGCAACCTGCCACTCCTCAAGCAAGCAGAAGAAGTGGGCCTCCTGTACACGAAAGACATCCCCCCAAAATAAGCCCTAGTGCTTATTTATGTGCCCAAAAGAAAATAAGGCCCGGTCTTATTTTCGGGAAAACATGGCTATCAAAGAAATGGTGGAATACAATCCTTAAGGAAAGGATGCAAAGGGAGGGACATAATGAAACGGGAATAACAAACATTCAAAACATATTTTTAAATTATTTTAAATACTGAAAAATGGTTGAATTGCCCTCCAATGAGTTTTTATCCCACGGTGAATTGGCTGCGCTGAGTTGGCCTCGGCGAGTTGGTAGGGCCAAATCGCCCCATTCTGACACATTTTTGGCTTGGCATCTTGGGGTGAAGTCCCAAAGTAGGAAATTTACATAAATAATAGTGGGAAAGCTGGATTCATTCACACGGAACGGGCCAAGGGGAGAGCAACGTTTGGAACTGGTTCTCGGACCAGCTGTGAGCCGAGCACGGAGGCAGAAAACGTGGTTATTTTTCAGGATTCTTATCAGTCTTAACTGCCATAAGGGAACAACGGGGGTCCATCATCCAAAATAAGTTCAATATTCCCCATACTATAAAATGCAGAAAGTCTTCAAAGCAGAACGATCTGGGTGTGTGTGTGTATGTGTGTGTGTCTCAAAATAAGTCCTGAGAACAAATAGCAAACCAAGTTGGTCTCTTATTATCTATTCTAAATAATTACATTGAATTGTTAAATTGTCCCGCCGTGAGTTGTCCCCTTCCGCTGTTCTGGGCTCCCTCACGTGTATCTCCGTTTTGTCTGTTCCAGTTCTTCCTGCACAACCACCTTTCCTTCATCCTGTACTACCACCAAGAGGAGGTGGAGGTGAACCAGGAGCCCACCTACCGGGTGGTTCGCTTCGAGGTCATCCCGCAAAGCATTGCGCTGGCAGGTAAGAGGGCCGGCGGCTGTTCTCACTTGGGGCTGAGCTGCCCAGGGGCTGCCCCAATCCCGAGGTGGTCCTCGGCTTACGAGCACAGCTGAGCCTGAAATTTCAGTTGCTAAGCGAAGCAGGTGTTAAGCGAGTTTCGCCTCACCTTATGACCTTTCCTGCCAGGTGTCTGGCTTCCAAAGTAATAACTCCATAGAAAGCAGAGCTCCAAGGCAGACGAGTTCCCCAAAAGAACAGTTTTATTGGGGGTCCTCATATTGGCACAAACTGGTGAAAACCAACTCTGAAATTTCCCGCGATTTTCACCTGATTAAACAGTTGACAATTCCCCCCTTTCCCCAAACAAGCAGTCGCATTGTCCAATCGAGATGCTAGCTGGTTGCCTGGATACGGGGCTCCTCCTCTCCCCAGCCACCCGTTGGAATGTCCTTGGTTCCCACAGGAAACAATTCTGCTTTGGCTACAAACCCCCATCCAACTATGTCCCCCCTTCCCTATCCCTTCTTCACACAGTGGCAACCCAGAAGCCTTCAAAATGGCCCCAGCCAGGTTCACTTCAAAGTTGACACCAGCGTTGTTAAGTGAAGCTGGCTTCCCCACTGACTGCTGGTCAGAAGGTCGTAAAAGGGGATCGCCTGACCCCGGGATGCTGCAACGGTCATAAATATGAGTCAGTTGCCAAGCATCTGAATTTTGACCACAGGGATGCTGCAGTAGTCCTAAGTGTGAAAAATGGTCATTACAGTTGTGCTTTTAAAGTTGTAGCAACGTTTCGGCAGAATCTCATCTGCCATCATCAGGCTTGTGTATTAGGGTCGTCTGTGAGTCAGGCTTTCCCAGCTGTTTCTGTTTTAAATTTGGTGCTAGCCTACTGCTGTGCCAGAATGTTTTTTTCTTCATCCTGATTGGTTGGGAGTCTTGGTCTGTGTTTATTGGTTTATTACCACATCAAGACTGCCTTCAAAAAAGACAGAAAAATCGCAGCCATCCTAAGAAACCCCAAAGATAAGATTGACCTGGAAAACCAAGGCATATATGAAGTCCCCTGTGCATCATGCCCTGCCACATACATTGGACAGACCAATAGAAGAATAAGTACCCGCCTAGATGAACACAAAAATGCAGTAAAAAAGCTGGAACACACTTCCTCACTAGTCCAACACATGAAAGCCACAGGTCATACCATCGACTTCAATGGCACCAAAACCCTAGCCACAATAGAAAACCCCAGCCACAGAATTATCAGAGAAGCCATAGAGATTAAAAAAAGACCTGAAAGCATGAATAGAAGAGATGATTCCACCAGGCTGTCAATCATTTGGAAGCCTGCACTCACAAACAAAAAAATATTCACACCACAAGCCAGGCAAACACTTGGGCACAAACAGACTCCCCCTGGTACCTCTAGCTCAGACACACCCCAACCAGGCACCCAGATGAAACCTAGCTTCCTAATAAATGATAGCCATCCATTTACTCGGAGCCAACTGCACTAAAAGCCTCCAATACAGGAACACAATGTTGCCAGCCAATCAAGACAAAAAAGCCACAAAACAGACAGAAGATATTAGAAACACCAATCAAACAGAACACAGCAAACTCCAAGACCGATAAACATAGACCAAGACTCCCAACCAATCAGGATGAAGAAAAAACCATTCTGGCACAGCAATAGGCTGCCCCAAATTTAAATCTGAAACCACTGTAAAAGTCTGACTCACAGATGAACACTATACAGAAGCCTGATGATGGCAGATGAGATTCTGCTGAAACGTTGCTACAACTTTAAAAGAACAACTACAATGACGTGGGAAAATACCCGAACAAAGTTGAATGCCATACATATACATATATATATTTATATATATATATATATATCTCCATAGATTTTCACGGGTACAGGTATGCAGGTCTTGGCGTGTTCGGGTCTTTTCCCGTATAAGATTAAAAAATGAATGAAATGTAGATAATTGTTTGTGTTTTGTTGGGAGGACAGGGTGTGACATGCTAGCACAGGGGTGTCAAACTTGATTTCACTAAGGTCCGCATCAGGGTTGTGTTTGACCTCGGAGGACTGGAGGTGGGGGTGGCATGACCATGGTGGGCATAACACAAGACTTGTGTCAGGGATACCTGTGGTGGCCATGTGCTAAGGCCCTGAGACCCTTCCTTCTTCTTTCTTCTTCCTTCCCCTTTTTCCTTCTTTCCCTTCCTCCTTTCCTGCCCCTTCTTGCATGCTCAGATGCAAAAGGGGAAACATTTCTCCTTCTGTTTTTAGTTTGTTTCGCTAGCCCTCTGCCAGCGAAAACAAATCTCATGCCCCCCCGTTTTGGGCTGGATGACCTTGTGCAGCCCTCTGCCAGTGAAAACTCCCCACGGGGCAGATCTAAGCACCCCACAGGCGGGATATGGCCCCCGGCCCTTGAGTTTGACCCCCCCTGTGCTAGGAGAATCAAATCAGGCATTTGCCAAATTTTGGAAGCCCTGAGCCCAAATCCCTGGCCCATAGCAACTGTCAAGGACCGGAGGAGGCAGCGAGATGCTTTGAGGAAGTCTCGGATCACCTGGATAGGATCCTTTGGCCAAAGAAAGATCATCGGTCCTGACCCTCTTCTTTGGTCCACAGACATGAAGGTGGATGAGAAGGGAGTTTGTGTCCTGCCCGAAGCTGCCAGCGCCTCCGCTCAAGAAATTGACCCCACTAAGCCCAATGAGTTACTTTTTACTTATTCTGTGCACTGGGAGGTGAGTACTGGTGCTGGGGGGGGGGGGGCACCGGGAAGAGATTTTTCATCCTGCCTTGATTACTTTAGAATTAATTCCAGGCAGCAAACAAACCTAATACTCCTCCTTTCCTCACGGCAATAACCCTGTGAGGTCGGTTGGGCTGAGAGTGAGTGTGATTGGCTCAAAGTCACCCAGCCAACTTTCATGCCTAAGGCGGGACTAGAACTCA